TTTAAATTATGTAGATTCCAATCTCATCACCCCACACACTCCACGGAGCAGGCTTGCCTGTCTTCGGCCATTTAGGATGCACAGCTAAGAAGCCACGCATCACCGCCCGAGGTCTGACCTTTACTCCTTAGGCTGGTGAGACCCTGCTCGCCATCAAGTGAAACCCACAAGGTTCAACCTCGGAGGTCACATTCAATGTCTCACAAAGTGGGGTGGGATGGAGGGGAGGGACTCAGGAGGCCTCCCCGGCGAAGTCAACTTCAATCCAACCCTTCAGACCCGAGTTCAACCTCTCACTGCTTTGGAAAAGGCAGTATGTGAAACAGACTTGGGTGTTATTTGTAAGGGGACGGTTTGATGCATAAAATTTAAGAGTTTTCATAAACTCCTAGAAAAACGGTGAGGTCAAAGCAGTGGACACAACTTGCAAATTTCTGTGGTGCTTTTGTGATGGAGGTCACAAAGGCTGGGTGAATTACTCTATTTCTGTGATGTCCAGTTCAGTCTTCCCTCACCTAATTACTTCAGTTAGACCTCAAACTACTCCCCCTTCCTTTAAAATTCACACTGCAAAACAGTCCTCCAAAGCTGGCAACTCACACAGACCTGACTGTCCACAATTCAGTGTGAAGGCTGCCTCGCAAAACCAAGTCTCTTCCCAAGAACTCCTCTGCCTTCCTACCTCATCGACCTGGCAGGTTTTCTTTATGACCTCTAAGTGTATACACACCTTGGAATACTTCCTGAACAGAATAGCATCTTCATTATGCCACTTGAAGGAAATCTTTGTTCAAGCCCTCTGTAGAAGTAGTGTAGTTCACTCTATTTTCAAATCCTTTCTCTTGCCTCCAGCACACATCCCACGTTAATTTCCAAGGCTCTTTCTCAAGAGTCTAGGCCAGGAGCTTTACAACAGACTTTCTACTTCCCCTTTGGAGCATCTCCAAGTCCATAATCCTCTTTTATCAGGTTCCACCAAGGGGTGACAAGTGGATTGTGTTTCCTGCAGAAAACTCCATTCCTCCTGACAAGTGGCTCCCAGTCCCAGCTGCATGTTGGGCCAACGGAACGAGTTGTGAAAAACACCACGTGCCTGGCCCCGTCTGCAGATCGAATGGGTTCGGGCGGGCTCAGGCACGCATTAGCTCTAAAGCCTCCCTATGCGGATTTAATGCGCAGCTGGGCCAGAGAGCAGCAGCGTGCGCATTCCTCAGGTTTGAATGAGGGGAACATGCCTCCGCGAGTCCGGCCCCAGGACAAGAGGCCTAGCGTGGCCATGGTCCTCAGCCAGCCGGGCAGCCCTCCTCGGACAAGTTCTCGCTTGCACTTTATGTCCACCGTCCACAGGGATGCAAAAGTGTGTGAACTATCACTGTGCACTCACACGCCCACGAAGAGTCAGGGAAAAAAATGGGATCTACGGAAAAGCAGGCAAATCCTTGAGTCCGAACAAAGGAAAATCAGAATGATGTGAAAATGGCAAAGTTTCATTATCACCAATGTGCCATTTGGCCATGGGATTTTCAAACAGGAGAGTTCTTGAATGTACTATGTTAATACAAGTATTGTCAACTCGGACCATTCTAGCTCTAATAAGTGACAAACTCCAAACAGTGATTCCTGAGGAAGGCTTGCTGTATCAGTTACCTAAAAGAAGATACAAGTTTCAGCCAATGTAGCATCACGTAATCATTCCTCTGGGTGATACAGAGAAGTGGAGCCTTTAGGTGACCCCTTCGCAGCTGTGAGGGACCGGGACACACTCGTCTATAGCACGCAGCTTTGGGCCCGTGTTTAGAGGTGAACAGTGGTGGCTGGAGTGGATGAGAGACTGAATTGAGCAGAATCGAGCTTTAATTAGGTTTGGAGCTCAGAGATGCCAAGTTACTTCAAGAAATTACACGGAACTGTGATGCCAGGAGGCGACCCAAAGACTATTGGCACATCTCCCAGAAAAGAAAAAGGCTGTGAGGTTTTCTAAAACTATCATGATGATGGCAGAGACTTGGCGAAGACACAGGTGTGCCCAGGACAGACTTTTCCTCAAGCGATCTTTCCTGGCACCACTGCAAACACTTAGGAAGTTGTGCTCAACTCCAGTTTTCCCAGAACCCAGAACCCTTCCCCAAAGAAATCAAGGAAAAAGAACCATAAAAATTTAATTTTAATGATACAGAAATAGTATATATAGTACATTTCTTTCCACAGCAGCACTTCAATCATCTCTAAAAAATTTAACAAAATTAAGGCTAAATCAGAGCAATCTGATAGTAAAGGGATATTTTATGTGGTTTTATTTTTAAAGAATGTCTTCATAAATATAGAATGTTTGTCAGGCAAAAAAAAAATGTTGAACAAGATACCAAATATGGGAAATGTGATACAAAATGTGCTCCTTTATACCAATTTGCCCAGACCTACTTGTTCCCTGGGAATTTCCAAACGGGATCTTTTTTTTTTTTTTAATGAATGTTTATGACAGGATGCTAAGACTTTTGGGAGTACTATAGGCCATTTTAGAAAATGAAACCAAGGACAGTTGAGTCCCCAATACTGTCTCTCTCAAAAAAATACAAGTGGACGGGGTTTAAAAGTGCAAGAGAATCACATGTGAAGCTGTGTGCTCCAAAGAACAATCCCTCCGGACCTGGCCTGCCCCGACCTGTGTTGCAGGATGACGTTAAAATACAGTGAAACAAAAACAGCATCACTGACAAGACAGAGGGTCAGGAAAGCAAATGGGGTTCTTGAGTGACCTGCTCCAAATACTGACGTTTTACTGCGCCGAGGAAGGAAAGTCTTTCTTTACCATTTTTTCCCCTTTTCTTTGGCCATGTTTGCTGGTTAGCTCTTTACCACTGCCTTCTGACTCAAGAGAGACCCTTCAGCTACTCCAGGATTTTAGAGTAAGATGAAGTCTTTTTTTCCTCTCTTTTCTTTCCAACATAAGTTCAGAAAGGAAACCAGACAACACCTAGCTGACACCCTGCAGGCAGCCCCGCTCTCTGAAGCCCCAGCCCCTGAGCAGCCACGCCACCCCGGAGGCACAGAGAACCAGCTCTCAGGCTGGCCCTCCCTCCCCCCGCCCGCTCTCCTGCACGCTTCTGCTGGGCCACGCTCTCCCCTACCACCTCCACTTGCCTTGGGGAATCCAAGTATTATTTTCTTTGAGGGAGAATGGTGAGCGTGTTGTTAACATCTCCTCGAGAAGGTGGTGTCATTTTTCATTATAAGCCTTAGAGCCCCCCGACTTTAACAAGGACATTTTACTTTATGACCAGAGGACCTATTACCCCAGAGAATAATCTTCTCATAGAAGGTTAACATTTTCATCATAAAGTAGCAGATAGTTTACATTTTTTCTTTCGCGTGACAATTCTGTTTTTCCATTTCTTTGGTTCCCAGAGCCTCAATTTCCCCTAAAGAAATTAAACGAAAGGCAAATGTCCAAGTAAAAAACCTCCAATATCCTCTCAAGTGTGTTCCAAAGACAGGAAACAGCGGGGTGAGGCATCGATACTAAAACTCATTTCTGACAGAAATTCACATGCAAACACAGAGACACAATATGAGAAACATACAATTACCCACATGTATGCAGAGTCATTAACACAATAACCTTGTGCAATCACACAGTCACATGAAGAGAAAGTTTTCGAGATCTTTTAGTTCAGGGCTTTTCAAATCTGGCTGAGGGTCAGGTTCACCTGGCAGAGCTTCTGGCACTTCCTAGACCCCATTCCTGAAGAATCCAATCCAGCAGGCATGGCTGGGAACCCAGAAATTTGTATTTTGTCCTATAAAATTCGATATTCCCACCCTTTGCTATATAGTGGAGGACCCTAAGGTCCAAAGAAGTCAAGATGTTGCCCAAAACTAACAGAGCAAGCGATGGAGAAAGGGCTAGACCCCGGGCCCTTGTCCCCTGGCCCACCACTCTGTCACACCTCGCTGCCTCCTAGAGCATCCCCGGACCTGGCACCTGACACTTAGGCTAAGCAACCATGAGGAGATACTCTGTTGGCAGAAGCAGGTGGTAAGCTGCTTGAGGGCAGGGACCATGCCTCATGTTCCTTTGGCCACAATCCTAGGTAACAAGTGTCTGAGAAATACTTGCTGGTAGGCAGTCACTCAGCTAAGGCCCAATTCTGAATTCCCCACTCACATCACTGTCTACGATCACCCAAGCAGATGCGAAATCATCTAGCTGGCTATCAAAATCCACCCGAGGAGGGCAGTAACGCCTCTGAACTGGTGAAGACGCCACGTTCGCCCAACAGGAATCTGAGCGACAATGCAAGTGCCATGAGATTAACTACCATATCTTCCCCTTGTGCCTGAACTATGTGAATCATGTGAAAAAATAAACGAATCCATAGGATGGAAAGAAGCTATTTACCTATAACATTTGGCAAATATGAATTATAAAAATCCTAAACTAGTCTAAGGAGAGAATCTCTAGCAATTGTAACCACTATATTTTTTTGAGTTTTATTACTGTTTCTCTAGGATTGCAATGGATATTCCCAGTCTTTTTTTGCGGGGGGGGTATTATTTATGTATTTTCTTAATCAAGGTACTGGGGGTTGAACCTAGAACCTCATGCATGCAAGGCATGCACTCTGCCACTGAGTTATACCCTCCCCCCGGTAATTCCCAATCTTATAAAACATTCTTTTGTGGATGGAGTCTCCTCCCCCTGGTAATTCCCAGTCTTATAAAACACTCTTTTGTGGATAGAGTCCAACTCCTTTATAAAGCTGATAGTGAGGGACTGAACACATTATGACATGGTTGCTCTTCTCTCCCCATGCCCCATAAATATAAACTCTTACACACAGACAGACACACTCACACGTGTCTATTTAATGGCAGTGGGGGAACATGACTTGTCTTATGATCGTTCTACTATATTGCCATCTTGATTGTAGACATGATAGGATACATGAAGAAAGGATAACCAAAACATTTAAAAAGCCAACAGGAAAATATTTTTTTTAAAGTTAAGGCTAAAAATTAAATAAATCAACAGGCACATGGGCCACTGGTGTCACACAGCCCGGCCCTGCCTGTGCCCACCTGACACCCGGGGCTCTGTGGGAGCAGGAACAAGGAAGGACTGCCTGGGGGTGGGGGTGGGGGAGCACCCAGGGCCGGGAAGGACCCTGCCTCCAAAGGAACCACCATAGCAGGCCCTGCATCCTCTACTGGGTGCTCACTCCCCAGGTGATGCTAAAAGGATGGGAAACTCTACTTGTAAAAATTGTCCTTAGAAATCATGTGTGGCCGAGGCCCCTCTGCTCGAAAGAGCCTCCACGCCCATGTGAGAGGTGCATGCACCCACACACGTCTTCTTCAAGTCTTCTGTCACGAGGGGCCAGACAGGACAGACCTTCCTCAACTTGTTTTTTGTTTTAATTTTTACAGAAAAGGAACTGTCTTCTCTTTCTTTTTAAAGACTTTTTAAATCGAGTCTTACCTATATGAAGATTCCTAATCATTCGTCCAGATGGTCTTTTACCACCACATGGATAAGCTCCTTCACCCGTTTACACATATTTATGAAGGAGTGACTGGACTGGTAGGTCAGGGCTAGAAATGACCCAGGATCATGCATCCCACGCCCCTCACTTGCCCTGGAGAAGGGGCAGGGCCAGCCCCACAGCCAGGTTCTCACCCTTGACCCCAGGTCTAATAACCGTCTCACCACCCGACCCAGGCACTGAGCAAAACCTCATACAAAGTTGTGTACTTTTTCATTTCAAAAATGAAAACAATTACAAGATGAAAGAATTTTTGTATCTTACTATGATTTATAAAGCTAATAAATATTAGCAAAATGGAATGACAATCAAAGGGTAAACATGACTAAAAAAATAACTGCAGGGTTTATAAAGATTCTTTCCTTTCTTTTTTTTTTGACATTCAATGTTTTATGAAGTCATATGCTATACACATATGACAACTTCTGTCTTTCTGCACGGTTAGGAAGTCATTCCAGAGAGACAACAACGCCACACACAACACATTCCACAGCACTGACACTTATAACCTACGCTTCTAGTCTACAGCGGCCACTGGTGAGCTGGACACACACTATGGACAGGAGCTAAGAAAACACTCATTTTCTACTTATTTAGTCAGAAGGAGGGCAAAGCTGCTGCTAACGTTCAATAAAATATCTGATTCGTAACTGTCACTACCTCAAGGGAAATCAAAATGAATTTAGTGAGGGGACTGACTGATCAAATGTAAGTTCTGAACAATCCTACATAAAATAGTAGAAGTTTAGATATCCAATACATCTCTTCAGGGAAATTTCAGTGAGTAATCCTATATGCCAAATTAATGTTCATGTTTGCATAATATATTATTTATGTTTGATATGTTCGATAATATATTTATCACTCCAATATTTTAGTAAAATTTACTGTGCCTCATTGCATAGAATAGAGTCTTTAAAAAAAAAAACTGTTAGCTGACAGTTACTACTGTGAATGAAGAGCTGTATGCTCTAGTCCTCCAGGAAAATTACATCAAAATGGACTTTTATGACAAAATCACTCATTTATCTCAAAACCAGAACAAGTAGAAAACACCAGTAAGGGAATCTGAGTACTTTTCTGACCACTACTGCAGAAACACAGAACTTCAGCAGATTGCAGACATGCAGGAATCAGCACTATATAGGAAAGAATTAACAAACCCAGTACAATTTTAATAACTGGATTGAAAGTAGACTCTTAATAAAACCAAAGTATCTCCTCCTCAAGGCAACCGTTAGCTACAAAGGAAAAATGATTTCTTGGTCCATAAAGAAGACACATTTATTTACATTCTCAATGGACTAAAAGAGGTTTTAAACTGTCACAATTAAAACTTTATGCTTCCAAAAATATCATATGATCAATGCACTTAACTTAAAGCTTCAGGTATTAATAACTTCATTTAGACTTCTTAGAAAACCAACACAAACATACTTTCTAGAGTGCAAAATGCGTCTTATTAAATACTTCGGTAACATAAAAGCAATTTGTTTTTAAACTCAAGAATCCTTTTCTGAAGGATCATCACCAAAAAGACATCCATTGCCGGCAATGGACGTTGAACAAAACTGCCAGCTCGAGTGAAATGCAACATGAAAACTTTGCATTCCGTTTCTGCACCTGTCCAGATGGCCCCGTTTATTTGTACAGACTCATTGTTGGACTCTGGTACATGCACATGTATGCATCACAAAGAAGTCTTCGTGCACAGCCCTGGATCCTTCTGGAGTCCAAGGAATGCAGATCATCCAGAGACATTTTCAAGTACTCTCCTACTTCAGGGCACGGGGTAACTTGAGGAATGTTGAAGCCATTCTGACCACCTATGGAAAAGAGCAAGAGCTGAATTGAGGGCAGGAAAGCTCTAAACCCTTTTGCTGCCCTGCCCACCAAAGCAACATTATAATTCTACAAATTCAGTGAAGGCTAATTTTCAGGATCTGAAAGACCCTGTTTTACTTCTGATTTCTAGAAGTTAAATTCTCTTTTTAACTCCTGACAGTCTCATTTCTCGGTTTCTGAAAGGATTCTGGGACCAAAAGTGAATATTACTAGTAAAAGGGCCCACATGCCGAGCAAAGCCCAAAACCTGCTTCCCAGGCTTGTCTGTGCGCCCAGTCAGGGAGCGACGCCACACACGCACCCGTGCACAGCCGCCTCTTCACGCTCCCCGCGCACGTCACGGGAGCCTGTCCAGCTTGGAAAGAGCTAGTGAAGTGAACGCTGTTTTATTCCCCTAAATTTCAACATGCACTTGTCTGACTCTCGCAGAGATTCGTTTACGTTTCATTAGACTGAATGAAGATGCTATGGGGCGTGATCTTAGGGATTCCAGGAAAGGCTCTTCTGGTTTGGCCTCCAGTAGCTTTTCCAAGTATGTCTGGAATCCCTATGGTTTTGAGCTACACTGTTAAATGTCAGCTGTAACTGGGGTAGGGACACATGTACAGATGGGGCTGTGCTATATCCCTCAAGCGTTGGAGAGCTGAGAAAATGTTGAGAACCCTTGGTCTAGAGCTTGGGCATCCGATCAAGAGGCTGCCATGAGCGGTGCCCTGGGTTACTGGGGGGCCGCACCAGAAGATGTGGGGCCTGGATGGAGAGTGTGGCTAAAGGAAGAGTGGGGTCTAAGAGGCATGGAGGAACACATAAGTCACACTTCACAGCCTTGCCTGGGACCCGTCCTAATCTGTAAACGCCCTACAGGCAGGCGTACGGCTGCTTTGACAACAGTTTAATTTTTCTGAAACCTACTGGAGCCCCGAGCACTTCACATGCACTCAGTAAGTATTTGTGAAATAATGACAGAGCATCCTGGAAGATGGCCTGGAAGGTGCAGTATATCCCCCACTTCAGGAAGAAACACATTACACACAGAATAAGCCTACTTTTCCAAAGAAGGTATTTACTTCTATTCTTAGGTTTGTCATTTAGAAGACAACATGGTTTAGGATAAAAAACAAATACTGAGGTCAGAAAGAGCAAGTTAAATACGAGCTCTGAGGCCTCAGGCACCTTAAATCTCAGTTTTAATAAGAGAAAAACAGGAATCATTCCCATCTTGCAAGGGTTCAGGTGTAATGATTTAAAGTACCTCCCAGGGACCTAGGCACATAGGTCCTTAAGGAATGGTGACTATGGCTTGTACAGAAAATGAGAGGAGCCTGAAAGTCAAAGACAAAGCTGAACATAAAACTTCTCAGCCTCAAGTAAGAATTTTCAGATTCTTTTTTTTTTAAAGACTATATGCATGTCAAAATATCATAACAATATTATTCTTTAGTTTAGGAGCAGAGCTATTAATGCATTTCAAGATTTCAGACTGTGTCACCAAGATATTCCTGAAAGGCTTTTCACAACACTACTGTATTACTCAGAACAGGCTCTCCCACTAGGAACGCCCCCACTACAAACTCGGGTGTGGCCACAGGTAGAAGAAAGGTCTGTAAAGTACCATCCCGATCAGCCATGCTGTCAAAGAAGAGCCAGGCCGAGTCGTCTTTCCCATACTTCACAAAAGCGACATAGTGGCTTGTTTCTATGCACAGAACAGCAAATAACTCCATCTTCTGGCAGGGGATGCAGCCATGTCTCCAGTCCCAGTCCGGTAAGTCTTTGGGAAGTGACACTGGGTTGTATTTATGATTCAACCTCTTGGGATGCAGGTGGACCTAGAAGGGATCATGAAGAGAACGTCGTGAAGGAGCCAAACTCAGCGTCTGAAGCGAGCGGGCTCCACTTACTCTAAGTGACTACATCCCCATACACAGCAACCGAGGACTTCAAGTTGAAGCAGCCTATCAAATACACAGATGAGGCATAAACACTGCCACCTAACTATGAATTTTTAAATGTTCATTATGACTTTGAAGACTTTTCAAAACCTGAAATCTCCTGTATATGCAAATGATCTACTATTTATTAAGGGAATATGTGTTAAGTGAAGTGAAACTGACTTGAGTGTTGCAGGTTTTACAGAACTGCTTGATTTTTCCAGCGGAGATGTCAGGGTCGTCATAGCATTCTCTACACTCGTACACGGCGAGCCCTCCGCAGATCCGGCACTGCCTCGGGGCTGAAAGGGGGGGGGGGAGGACGGAGGGGACTTTAGGCGGTTTTAAAGTGCATTCTTTCATTAAAAAGATTAAAAAGAAAAGTTAAGCTTTAAAAAGGATATGTTCATGAACGCAATAAAGTCTATCCCTCCCCATCCCTATAAACTTTAAATTGGATTCCCTTGGATTCAGGATATCTTTAAAGACATTTTGTCTGACCAAATGACAATTTTTTAAAAAAAATAATATATTCTAGAGTGTTTCCCCATTATAAAATGTCTATTGATGAAAATTCAAAGATACAAGAAAGTATAAATAAGACTGAAAAGCATCTACAATTTCAGTTAGCAAGAGGTAACCACTGTCAATGCTACTATGAATTTTCTCCAATAATTCTGTATCTGCATACTTACATAACTCTGTCGCGCGCGCGTGCGTGTGTCCTCTTGCAGAAAATATCAACATACTAACCTTTCACGTCACAGTACATTATGACCACCTTCATATAACGTTCATTTTCAAAAACAGGAATTCTAATGGCAGTAGTTTTGTTGTACAGATACACCATAATTCATTTAACTACTCTCCTCTGGTTAACATACAGAGTACTTCTAATTTCTTAATCATAAACATATTTACATATGAAATATTATAAGTCTGATTATTTTCTCATAATAAATTCCTAGCTTGATACATCCAGACTCTTCAGATACTGAAATGCCATTTAGAAAACTCATATCCTATTAGGCTTCAATTCACAATTAATGTGAATGAGTTGACAGACTGTTTCTGAAAAACAAACTAAAAAGTCTTATACTTACTGTCTTCAAGTAAATCTGTTATATTTAATTCCAGAGAAGGAAAAATTTTTTTAAATAGTTTAAAGTCTTTTCCAAATCGAGGCATCTGAATAATCAGACATGATGGTGCCTAAGGGGGAAAAAAAAGGATATATGTATTTTAGAATCAAAGCATCGAAAAAAAATTTCCCTGAAATTTTCATGAAATAGTCATGGTTGTTAAACCAAGCAGTGGTTCTGCCGTCACATGGATGTCCTGTAACAGGATCTGCACGTGAACCCAGAGTGTACAGGAGAGCACAACGAGCCACAGTCTCAAGTGGTCCAAGACCCTTGGTCACACGGACACCCAGAGGTCAGGAAGGTCCACAACCTTGGGTCTCAAATAGAGTATAGAGTGACATTCTATCTTGGGTTTATATTTTTAAAAGATTTTAAAAGATTTTTGCAAGTATAATACAGAAACTGTCATCAACCAAAAGAAACTATTCCTTGTATTTCAACAAATAACTGTAGCTGTTAAAGGTTACCAGAACATTCCTTCAGAAGTGGATACAATGAAAATAAACCACAAGCATGTACTACTAAGATTAGGAAGACAGCCAAGAGTAAAAGAAATTTATATCACTTGTTCATTTACAATAAGTGAGTTTAGTTTATTTTGTCTCTTATTGAAGGAAGAAAAGTAAACATTCTTTTTTTGATATATATGGATAACATACTTGGGTAAAATGTTAAACTGGGTGAAATGACCAAAAAAATCCACAAATCTTATTTGCTTTAAGCTACTTAAAAGTTTTCAAGTTACAGATTAGATTGATATTTTCTTTGGCACCAAAAATCCAGAAAGTTCAATTTTAATTCTAAGGTTATTTCCTTTCTACAAGGACAAAGTTGAAGCATGGCATACTTTTTAAAATTTGTGTTTTGTTAACAATTTGTGTTTCTAACTGTTCTCATGGATTAAAAGTAATAGTTTTTGAATCTACTAGTCATCTTAAGAACCCTAAGGATTTGCATATAAAATACAATAAGTAATTACCACTAACCTCTGCAAATTTCAGGTTACTGTTGATAAAAGACCATTCTAACAATTGCTGAATTGTCGGAACTCCAACTTTCTCATTTTTTTCCATAAAAATTTGATAGAAGTAACAATCTTGTACTTTTTGACCTGCTGATCTAAAAACATGCAGGAAAAAACTAGATAATTTATTGATGAAGGGCATAAATCAAAATGTGAAGTAGTTCCAGAAGCACCTGAGAACAGAAAAACTTTTGAGAACAGAAATCGATGGTGTAACTCTGACAGTCAGAACAACAGGGGCAAAGACAACCATTTAGGTAAAATAATTAAATGTACTTATGCATAAGACCTTATTAACGATCTCTTGTTCTAGTTCTCATATTGAAAAGTCCCCTTAGTGATTAGGAGAAAAATAATAACAACACCTGCAAGCAAGAAGCACTGTGTCAACAGTAATAACCAGAAGCTAAAAATCCCTTGGTCCAACTTAATTGTCCAAAGCTAGAAAGCAGCAAACTGCATTTAATGCCTGAAAAACAGGAAGGTAAATTCACATGCACCTGAATGGGACAGACCCTGAGAGACCTTCCAGATGCAACTTTTCAATTCCCTGAGATCTAGGGAAGGATAATCCTTCCTAGCAAGTCAAAAGCACAGCTGGGTGCAGAACTCAGGCGTGCTAACAACCCCTTACTGTTCTTTGCACTAAAGCAGGCTGTCTCTTTAGATGGCCACTTACTTACTCAACAAACATCAGGTGAGGGCCCACTATATGCCAATCACAGTGTTATCCTTATACTGAACATTTTCCTTTCTAACTATTTTACTATAGAATGCATTAAAATTAAAGACTAACTCTACCAAAAGATTCAATAATCTTTAAATTTACTACTTACCGCTTTTAGCATTTCTGGGCATAGAATCAGATTGTTTATAATTAGACTTGTTAGAAGATTTCAGTAATTTTAGGGAAAAATATTAACATGATCTTTCTAATAAAATCTCAGCTATTCAGAGACCAACCTCGAGACCAACCTCAGAAACCCTCAGTTTTCCAAAGCAACTTACACCCTGAAATAAACACCACTCATTTGATAACAGCAAAGATTCTGGGGGAACCCACAACAACAACAAAAACAAAAAAACAATAACCAAAAATCCTGAAGGTTATGCTGTATCAGTATTTTAACCAGTTGTTAATGACAATAAAAGGCCAGCATTTATCTGTGTGAGCTGAAAAGCATTAAACAAATTAATAGGCAATAGAAAAATAAGCCAGGAAATTAAGAACGCAGAAAGTAATAGAGGTCAGTAATTACAGAAATCAGAAATAATAATGGTGATGGAGGAGGGAGATGGTGGCTGAAGGGATCTCAGGGTGGCAAGCACGAGAGAAGAGACCCAGAAATGAGGATGCAATACCAACAGCTTTGTGATATTGGGATAGAAAACCTGCAGGGACAGACAACCACTCAAACCTCATTACTAAAGTTTTAGAAGGCTAATATCCTAGAGTAATTAGCTGGTCATTACGACACACATATATAAGAATCACAACAAAGCTGGTGCTGTTGTACAAAACTGTACAATTTACACTGCTGTCTTCCCCCCCAAAAAATCTAAGAGCAGAAGGGTACAAATGTTGTGTTAACTTTAAAAGAAAACAGGAATTTTATGCATCTTTATTCTTAGAATTTAAGTCTGTCAAAAATTCCAAAAGTTCTTCAGCTATCATCTCTCAAAATATTGCTTCCTCCCTGTTCTCTCTAGTGTCTCCTTCTAGAACTATAGTTAGAATCTGTCTTCCATGTCTCTTATCTCCTCTTTCTTGTTTTCTATCTCTTTAATCCCTTTGGGCTACATTCTAGGTAATTTCTTCGTATCTATCTTCCAAATGAGCAGTTCTTTCTTAAGCTATGCTGCGCACACTGCATTCAGTGAAGTAACCCCTCCCAGCCATATACAATATATATGGATATATATACATACACACACACACATGCATACACGCATACACATAACACACACACACATATATACACACACTTTTTTATTTTATTTCTGGGAATTTTTGTTTGTTATCAAATCAGCATCCTCCATAGGTATCTAAGTCCTTTTTTCTCTTCAAACATTTTAAAATATTCATTTTAAGAATAGTCTCCTTTAGATTGCTTTACTATTTCAAAATTTTAAGGTATTTATCCTCCTGTTTGTTATATCAGTTCACTCTGCCTCAGTTAGAAAGATAGGCTCATGGAGGGGAAAAAATGACACTTGGGGAAAAAACGGCTAACTTTTAAGCATCTTTTAAAAATCTTTAAACTAGTGATTCTCAATACGAAGAGGCTACTGAAGGAGGAGGGGAGGCAGAGCTTCCCAGGATCCTCTGCAAACTCCACAAGGCCTTCAGACACGGAAATGTATTCCTGCATATGTCTGAGCCCTCCTTACCCTCTCTGAGGACCACCACGGTGTTCACCCTGTGTTATTACTCGTAATGTATCACATCCCCATGGTGTGTGGGGCTATGAAGGAAAAACAGACAACTGTTTTAATCATCTGAAATTTATCTTTTCAAGATGAAAACAGAAGTGATTTTTTTCCTCCCAAATTGCCTGCTAGATTTCCTACATCATGTATTAACCATATATTTCCTTCCTCATTTGTGTCTAAAGGCTGACTTACAAAATACTGAAATACTAAATATAGTTAATTCTTTATCTGAGCTTTCCATTCAGTTCTATCTGTCCAATTTCTAACTGTATGCCAGTATCACATTGTCTTAATGTCTATTGTTTTGTCTTTATAGTTTATAATAGAATTTTTAAAAACTATAATGTTTTTACTCATTTCATCTTATAGAGAATTCTAAAACTATTTTACTAAGTTCCAAAGTGGGGGGGAGTTAAGATCTTGATTATGTACAAATTATTTTATGAAAATTAACATCTTTAAGTTTTTTAACTTCCTATCTGGAACATAATCTTTCTAACTAATTAAATCACCTTTTAGCACTGTGCAAGTCTTTTAAAAAAAAAAAACCTATCTCAATAAAATTGATTTCTTGGCATTTTATACATTCATGAAGTATGAATTTATCCCTTTTTCATATTTGCTAGTAGGTATACAGAAATATGATTGATTTCTCCATGGTTTTATCCTACATGGCCAAATTACAAATACCTGTGTTAATACTAATAGTCTCTTAACCATTCTCTAGGACATTCTTGGTATATCTAAAGCTATCACCATATTGAAATAGATAATAAATATATCCTATCTAATTTCATTTGCTAGAACTTTCACAACAATATCAAACTCTAACTGTGGTTCTGTCCACCCTTCCTCCCTTCCTTTCTTCTTACTTGAATTCATCAATTCAACACTAGCATCAAAGGACATCACTTAAGACACCGAGTTGAGTAAGAATACTTGTCTGTGATTAGCTTTTAGGGAAGTAAATAGTATATGAGCAAGACTTTCCAACAAAGAAATCCAGACTAAAATGTAAAAAGGCCCAGCAGTCAGTCTGGAAAGCTCATCTATTTAGAACATCTTACTAAGAACATCACTGCATTAGATTCAACGCTTCCACTCAAGATGGGGGCTGGGGGGGGGAGATCAAGTTACAAAACTGGAAACAAGGGAGCTAATTTAAGGCTAAATTAATACCTTAAGTGATGGGTAGTCAAAAACAGTGCTCCCATGGTGTTTAAGTTCAAATATTCTCTTAAATACCCTTAAAAGGGTTCATTAATTTAAATTACAAAAATACTTATGTATAGTTTTATAAGAGAATGATTTGCAATAGTATTTATTACTAGGGTTAAAATTAAAAGCACAGATTTATATTGGATTTGTTCCTCAAGTTAAGTGTGATACTATGGAGAAGACAATGATTTAAATCAATTTGCATTGTAGGAACTGAACATATTAAGATCCCTAAACAAATACAATATTAAGTAGTCACTAAGGAAGTCATTTCTACTGAGTGATGGCAATGCAAACAAGGATTGTCTACTTTTCCAATGCTTCTATAACAATTCAAAAGTTACCTTATTTTTAACAATGGTTCTACCCTTAAAATATGATGAAATAGGATATTCAAGAATTCTTCAGGATCTAGGAGAAAAAAGATTAAAAAAATCAAATAAGTCACAGACAAATTTTTAAATCATTCCATGTTTTATTTATAACAGTCATATTCCTATACGGAATTCAATTTCATAATCAATATTATTTCAATGAAAAGCCTAGTTCTCAAGTTTTCCTAACAAAAGAAACAAAGGATATTTAAAGGTTATGATTACGTATTATGTTCCAATTTTGTCACAACTTTGTTACATTTGAAAGGATATAATAATTCACATACATTGAAATAATTTTCATTTCTTTGGGTGGGGGCTTAAGATAAGTAGAATAAAATCTGAAGCATGACCTTGTTTCTCCTGCTATTTACATAATTACCAAGTCTCTAAATATTACAGCTAATACAATACGCTGTTAACACATTCCAAGTCAGGAGTTGAATCCCTGAGTAAATCCACTAGCTATGAATAGATTAACGCACTGTCTCTGACCATAAACTTAATCCTCATCAGTCATTTACAACTTCCTTTATAACAAGGAAAGCTAAGTGAGAACTGTGGATGACTCAGTGCAACTCTTCACCACTGAAAAGGAAACAAGTCCCCGTATCGTTGCTGGGTGGAAAGCTCTCCATACTGACTCATAAAGTACCAGAACCAGCCAGCTTCTTAAAGGGGCTCATTATTCCAGTTATCACTCACTTTCAGAAGAGGGAAGAAAACTGTACACACATGGAAAAAAATGATATTTTAAAATAAAACCCCAAAACTACACAGATATACACTTCAGCCAATAATGTAACATTTATGCTTTCAAGTTATTTTTAATATCTTATAAATTAAGATAGTCACCTTTTTCTTCAGAGGTAAATCCTGATGCAGCCTCAACTTTTTCAAGTATTTTCCTCAGTTTCATAATCTTTGTTGCACATACATATCCATATCTATGTTAGCAAAAAACTATTAATACTGGCATACACATTAAATTAATAGAACATATTTTGAGAATCACACATTTCTTATATAACTACAGTGTATCATAAATTAATAAGCTTGATAATTGTTCCAAAAAAAAACAATTATAAGCTTCTTCTTGAGGTTTGAAAATTTTAAAGCCTAGAATCAAATTATCCCAGACACTATTACATCCTAAAAATAACTATCATATACTAATACAAGAAAAAAATATTTTTAATTTCTGATGACTGGTTTTTTAATACTATTTGCTTAAGGAATTAAAACATTTATTTTACAAAACTGAATATACAATATTGAGAGAGAATCCTCTTAATACTAATGGATGAAATAGCCACCAAGGGGGACGGAAAAGGGCAGTGATAAGAAACTGAAATTCTGAAATCTGCAGGCAAATCAATCATCATAATTACAACATTTTCTCTCATCTTTGTTTGAATACAGGATACATTCAATATGCCTAATGTCAATCCTTCACAAAATTTTAATTCTAAAAATGGCTTCAGAAGACACCTTAGAGGCCACTCTGGGCAAGTCAGAACCAGCTAAGATTACTGCATTTTTTATATTGACTCTTCACTCACTCATTAGCTCTTTGCAGCCAACATACACTGAGCATCTACCATTTCCACAGTAACCTAACCTTTTAGTCACTAGGAATACAAAAACGAATGAGGTGAAAAAACAGGGTCTCCGCTGTGAGAAGCTTAAGATGGAGAAAGCCGAGGTTTCAGTACCAAGTGAAAGCAGTCAGCTACAATCTAGATATGACTGACGCAGACACAGGGAATCCTGATCACAGCTGGGCATCAGACAAGTTTCTTGCTGTGGACAGGGTGACAAAGTCTGATTAACTATGATTCCTAACTGGTTGGACAATAGTAGTCAAAGGTTTATTAACGAACTTATGGTGTTTTGGAAGGAAGGAAGTGGTAACATGCTCTAAAGTTTTGGATTTGATCTGTCTTATTAATCGCTTGGGGGGAAAACAGCATGTTTAAAAATTTGCATTTATACAAATACAATACAAAATAATTAATGTTAAAATCAAGACTCATAATTACCTTAAGCGGTAAAAACTACAGGTTTTTTCATCGTTACAGAATTTAAGGAAAACAATAGATACAAGTGGGAAATTTATTCGTCTGTAATGTACCTTCCTAGTCATGCTATACAGTAGGTCATTCTGAATGCTCATTATATTTCAGTGCTCTGCATTTTGGTGTCAAAATCTTATATCGAACTATTTTCTAACTGTTAAATAAGTATGCCACAAAATTTAAATTTATCTTAACATGGACTTTAAGTTACATAGTTTTCTCTCTATATTCCTGAATGAACAGATTTGTTTTGTGATCTATGGCCCTGATTCTTCCTACTTTAACTTTTATAATGTGACATTATCACACATGCCTCCTATGGCTTATTAAAAGTCTTTACTAGATGTCTTGTGCATGTACCATTATAAATTGCTTCCTATGGCCAAAGAAAAACATATTTATAATTGTTAAACTAGGAAATGACCAAAAACATCATCTCTTTTTTAAGAGAGGTAGACGGAGGCCTAGATACATTCTATTAACCAAGAAATGTGTTAGTAAAATACATCTCATCTGTTTCTAATATGGAACTATTAAATACTAGCTACTCTATAAATAACAACTTTCCCTTGCTCCTATCCACTCAGATGAAGTTAAGTTTAAGAAGCCAGATCATACTGACTAAACTAATAAGCATGATTTCTGTTAGGGGTAATGCTGGAGAAGATCAGAATCCCAAGCACCTTCTATCAGCTTTTCTAAACCTACTACAATTGCTAAATTATAGTACACTATACCAAAACGGTTCAATCATTTCATGGCCTACACTATGTGCTATACCTTCACCAGATTTAAGATATAAAAAAAGATGCTATAAGGACCAAAGGTTAAAAAAAAGTTAATATTTCATTAAGAGAACTAATTCTCTCCCATTTCTTCTTAAATGAAAGCAGGGCATACATTACTATACCAAAAAACAGCAAACAGGACACCATCTAAAGGAAAAAATATGTATCTCCTACTTACATTCTCAGAGGATTAACGATTTCTGTCCTCAGTAGCTCTTGAGTTTCACTATAATATTCTACGTCATTCTTTTCTTTGGGTCTAAGTAACACAGTGTCCAGAACAGAACTAAAAGCAAACAAGCTGCAAAATAAAAAATATTTTTCCTCAGTTGCTATACATGTACCAGAAACACATGCTAAAGAGAATGTGAAAAGAAAAACCACAAACTCTGGAGAACAAGTAATATACAAACTAGTGTTCTGCATTAATATAGGTCAAGATTTCCATGGTTTAATCATCAGAGCGAGAGATCCTTCCAGGTTAAGGAGAATACGAATATCAAGAAGGCATACTACACAGATTGGCAGTGTTAAAGGATAAAAACATGCCTTCAGTATATTAGGAAAACATCTTTACAAAAAGTGAAAGAGGACGTACAAATCTGAGTCAAACTACAAGTAGACAACAGGGGAGGAAGTTCGGAAACTAACTTCCCAAGGCAAACACACAGCCAACACGTAACCCACCCTACATAGCATACTTGACTCCCACGCCCCTTTGCACAGATCTAAGTTTTTTTTAATGTCAAAATCACTTGTGAGTGACTAACAGCGGTAACTTGCTGACATCAAAAAAAAAATTTGGCTAATACAGATTTTTATCAGAAAATCTGAAGAATACTATGCCAATTTTGTCAACATATCTGACAGACTAAAAAAGTATTCTGCCTAAAAAATGGCCCACCACTTTAATTCTTCTCCTTGCCTTTAAAATTTTAACATCCCATTAACTTCCTGATCCTTGTGAGACGGCTGTACAGAGCCGGCAGGTTATGCTCCATCTAACTGGCAGTGCACTTGGTTCAATCTTCAGAGTGTAAACGGTTTCGCCATGTTAAGTTGTTTCATTTTGGAATAAACTACATGTACGAGGGCAACCGGGCTTCTCCTGAAAATAATTCTTTAAAATAGCTTTATGATTGCCTCTACCTAGTAAAACAAACACACAAACCAGTCAATGGCTTACCGCAAGTCCTATTACTTGGTATGTGCACAAAGATCCTGTACCTACTCTCTTCAGTTGTCTGATTTCCCACAGACCTTTAGATGTCTGTTCCACCTGTTAACACTTTCACTCAGCTCTTATTCATCATTCACTGCATTACTTCTTACATTAAGTTTTTGGATACAGACACATGAAACAACATGTAGCTTCCAAGGAGTATATAGTGAAATGCAAATCTCCCTTTCTTTCCTGAACCCTAGCCACCTAGTTTCTCCACTCAGAGGCAGTTAGCAGTCTTTTCTCTTTCTCTCTCTCTCTCTCTCTCTCTCTCTCACACATGCACACCTTCCCCTACAGCACTGTATTTCTACTGCATTGATTTTAAACTTACCAGAATAAGGTTGAGTCTAAGTAACAAGAATTGTAATGACCCTGGATACCTTTCTTCTTTCCAATCATTATCTCTAAACCTTCTTTTTCCATTTTCGGTGGAGTATTTTCTTCTACTACTTCACTTAAGTAGCCTCCAAATGCTGCAAAGATAAAAATAAAAATAATTCTTCTAAACTATTATAGCCTGCATTCTCATATAAAGTTCTTCACTTAAAAATCTCTCTTTGTATTTTGATGCAAAATGTATCACCTAACTTAAAAATTAAGATAAATGTAGGTTTTGGTTAACTGTTATTCAGTTTGGCTTATAAAAAATGTTACTGTTCATTTTCAACCTTACTTCCTCCACAATTTAAAAAACACTGTAGAGTATGAGGTCACGTAAAATAGCATCTGCCAAGTAAAATATTTTGTTCCTCAAATATTTTATTTGTCTGAAGATGTTTCAAGTTGGAAAAGACAACAAAAAATTCCAAACCACTATTCAACTGTAAGAAAAAGGTTTTTCATTAAGATGGCTTCCCTGCTTATACCTGCTTAACTCTCCAGATGATTCACAACGAGTACCCAAAACTGGAAAGGAAGAACATTGAGAAACTGCCACCTTTTACAAGTGATGATGAGATCTGCCCTTCAACAAGCAGTTAAAACCATTTCTTATAATAATGCTGACTTCTTGATATGTTTATTGATGTTACTTGAAAATACACTGAAGAGGAAGTCATTCTTGATAAGATATGCTTACTAACGCAGCTGAACAATACAATGAGAGGAAAGTCAGTGCCAAAAAGAAGACCGTATCTCGGTTTCTACCCTCTGGGTTGTTGAAAATTAAACGTCTATAAAAAACAGGGGAGAAAAAATAAATCCCACTATTTTTCACTTTTTAAGTCTCAAACACGGTTTCCTGGCTAATACTTTTTTTTAAATGTCCCCTCTTAGGATAACTGTAACTTTCTTATATACCAGGTAATCATTTTTTTCTGATTTAAAAGTTTGATGAACATTTACAAGCAAGAAAGAAACACTGTCACTGCCACCTACTGCAAAATGACATGAGATTACAACTAGAATCACCCCAACTGGTAAACAAATGAAAGGCACAGAAATACCTAAAGAGTTACAGCGTTCGATCTGGTTGGAAACTGGCTGCAGGGAAGCAAACCTCGAGTCGGGCCTGCAACATTTCAGTTTAACAAACAGCGCCTTCTTCATGGCACAAGTGAAGTACCGAGTGCCCCTAAAGGTTCCGTCTGTACAGCCTGCACATTCATCTTCCTGGGGAGAAACAAAATTCTTAGACTGCATTATTCTGCATCCTGCAAAAACAGTATACAAAAACTAAAGTTTCTAAAAAGCTTCCAGTTTACTCTTCCTCAGAATTCTCTCGCCATATATGTACGGAGAACTCCGCCAAGGAAAAGAGGTTGACTAACCAGAGTTTCAGCCCACAGCTACTGATATGATAAATTAATTTCATATTCCAGCATAAAATTCTCAATGTATTTCCCTTCAAAATACACGCTTAAACCTTCCCTGGTTAACTGACTTTCCCGCACCATTTCCAAAACCATTAAAACAGTAGGGGAGATGACGGCGGGCAGAAGAGGCTATTTATTTTAACAATCTCCTCAAAAAAATAGCATTCACTAGCCGGCAAACCAACAAATAAAAAAAATATATTTAAATAAAAGCTAAAGGTACTCAAATTCTCCTTCCCGAGTAAGAAATGTCAAACAATATGCTTTTCTAATCTCCAAAGGGAAAATCTTTCCCTCTCCCAAAGATCTCAAAAGGCCACTAAAAAATGGTAATTAATCTTAAAGCCAATGATATAAATATTAGAACTGGCTGTGGGAGGGAGACTGTGAGGAAAAAAGAAACAAACCTGGTAACAGTTTGCTCTCCTTATGGTATTCTGTTTAAAATAATGAGCTTAAACATATTTGCCTAAAAATCCATTCTCATTCCTTGAACATAGATCAACTAAAATTAGGAACAAGTGGATCAGATGCTTAATGGATGGCAAAGGAAGTCAGGCAACGTGATAATGAGATTTTTCTCCAGTGGCGGCTTTTTGATAAATAAGATATTTCACCAAAGAGCATATAATAGAGAAAACCTGTACAAAACCCCAGATAGAAAAGAAATGCAACTTCTAGGTCAAATTACATTACCAGTTCGAGTCCAGCCAGTACTTCATTGAGTCCTGGTGGCTGCCCAATCCAACGGATCACCCCATAGAAAGGAGGATTCTCTTTAACCTCTGCCAGTGAGCCTACTTCCAGGCCATGTGAGTTACCAGAAGACACGGCCAAGGGTGGACTCTCCTGCACGGGTGCATTGTTCAGCTCTCCCATCACAGACTGCACTGACAGAGAAAGCGGACTGTGGCCAATACTTCCATTGGTATTGGACATCTTTGTCAGACTAAACGGTAAAGAGTGAAATCTGTTCTCGCTGGAGAGTGAGTTCATGGAAGGAGGCTGCAGTGGTGGTGAAGCATGTCCAAAGTCAGAAGGTATCTCAGTAAGCGATTTTGCAGGGTCTTCAGCAACTATAAAAAATTATTTTTCTTAATTAGAGAAATGTATTCAAGAATATTAAATATGCCCTATATCTCTAAAAATGAATATACACATCTCATCCAACTGCCCACTTTCCCTCTTCTAGTATAATTCTCAAAAGCCTTGCAAAATTACTATCTCCAAAACAGTGTTCTAGATTCTCCTCCCCACCTCTCAATTTTTCTATCTCAGTAAATAGCACCCAATTATTCAAACGAAAAAAAATCTGTTATTAATTGGAACTGTATAGGTTATATTCTTTGTCCAAAATACAATTATGTTACAAAAACCAATACAGAAAGATACCAAAAAATTTAAGATGCTTCTAGATAACTAAAGAATCAAAGAAGAAATGATAATGTAAATTTTTAAAAAGAAAGAAAAAAGAAAGAAAAAAAATGAACACTTGTGGACACAACTAAAGTAATACTTACAAAAGTAATATACAGATTTAATGGTTTAATTTAGAAAAAAAGAAAGGTAATATTATTGTACTCAGCATAGAACTTAGGAAGTTAGAAAAACAACAGAATAACCTGCCAAAAAGTAGTCAAGAGGAAAGAATAAATACAAAAAACAGAAATTAATGAAAGAGAAAGCAAACATAAAATAAAAAGAACCAAAGCCAAAAGCTCTTCCATTAAAATAACTAACAGAGCTGCCAGGCAGACACTGCAGATCAGTGGGGAAAGAACAAACTTCTTAAACAGTGCCGATAATCACTTACCCATATACATTTTTTTTTTAAATTAAATTGGATCCCTACAAAAACCATTTCCAGGTGGCTTAAAGACAAGTGGCAAAGGCAAAATGATAAATTTTAGAAGACAATACAGAAGAATGTTCTGTATGATTTTAGGGTAGAGAGGACTATCTTAAACATGTGTGTATATACACCGTTAAAGAAAAGACTGACAAGTATGACCACATTAAAATTAAGAGCTGCTTGTTCATAAAAAGAAAGAATGAAAATGCAAGTCACAAACAAGGAGAAAATATATGCAATTCTTATTTCTGACGAAAGATTATAATTTGAAAAAGGCCCTTAAGACTTTTTTTTTAAAAAAATCAAGAAAAAAAAACCTAAGAAAAAATGGACAAGAGACCTGAAATGGCAACTCACAGAGAAAGAAATCTAAATCACCAACAAATTAATGAAAAGATTCGTGTCCTCACATAAACACAAAAGATAAAGTTAAAATCAATGTGAGGTATCATTTCAAAAGCTGAAGGTCTTAGAACATACTGTTGATAATGATGAGAAGTAACAATACCCCTTACACAGCTGATGGGAGTGTAAACTGGTATGACTACTCTGGGAAACAGTTTGGCGTTATTTACTAAAGGAAAAATGCATATTTTGTGCACATCTAGTAATTCCACTTCTTGGTACATTTCCTAGACATGGGTAAGAATGTGAATAGCAGAGCTGTTAATAATAGCAGGAAGATAAAACCAATTCAAATGTACATTGATGTTCAAATGGATAATTACATTGTGGTATATTTAAATACTGCACAGCAATGAAATGAAATGGAATGGAATATCATACAGCAATGAAAACAAATAAATTATAATCACATACTACTAACTTGGATGAATCTTAGGAACATAATGTTGAGGGAAGAAATTACACAATACACATATAGTGTGATTCCTGTATATAAAGCTCAAAACTATGCAACTAACAATATGCTGTTTAGATATACAAACTCATAAGGCTAAAATGAAAACCAAGAGAAGGACAAACACTAAATTAAAGCTGACAGTAGCTCAGAGGAGAGAGTGAAGAGGATGACACTAGGAAGAGGCACCACAGGGGTTTGAAAGGGAATGCTAAAATTCTTTTTCTTAAAGTGAGCGGTAACTACGTGGGTGTTCACTGTAGTTTATACCTTATCCATTTAAGATTTGGTAATAATACTTAATCTAAGATTTTTTTTAAGTTACTCTTCTTTCTCAAATCCTCAACCCCCCAAGCCCAACCCTCAATTCCATAAAGCAAGTTCTGTTGTTTCTATCTCCAAAATATATCTCAAATTTGTCCACTTCTCTTAACCTCGACCATCACCTTCCTAGTCGAAGCCACCATCAACTGTCACCTGCAGCCAGTCTCTTACCTGGTCTCTCTGTCCCTCTTCTTGCCCCTCTCCAATCTAATTACCACAGAACAACTAGTGAGATCTTTTTAAAATTTAAAGATCCTATGTGATCCTGTATCATTCCTCTGTTTAAAACCTTCAGTGGCTTTCCAGTATTCTCACAATAAGTGTTCAACTTGTTACCAAGACTTACAAGGTCTTAGGTAATCTAGCTCCTACCTACCTCTCCGAACTTGTTCCATATACCTCTTTCCCTTGCTTACCCTACTGTGGCCACTTGAACCTACTTCCCGTTCCCCAAATATATTTTCTCACCTCAGGGCCTTTGCCTTTACTATTTCCTCTGCCTAGAATGTTCCTCTCAAGCTCTCTCTCTGGCAGGTTCATCCACATTAGCCAGATCTCAGTGTAAATATCATTTCCTCAAAGAGTCTCTTCCAAACCACTCTATGGTGGCTGGCTTCCCACCAGCTGCTATCACCTTGTTCATTGCCTTCACTGAACATGTCACAATTATTACCTTGTCTGTCTACACATTCACTGTCTACCGTATCAACTAGAGTATAAGCTCCTTATGACCAGAAATTCTGTTAGTCTCTTCCATGGTTGGATCCATAACATTTGGTATAGCCATTAACCCAAGAAAATAACTCAATATTTGAAAAAAAATTGAATACATGAAGTAAATGTTGTAGGGAATAGCTTGTGGAATGTGTAAGTAAAATCAATTACAAAAACAATGTTCTTTTACAACTAAATTACTTCTATTTTCTAGTTTACAGATGAAGGCCTACTCCCTACAAATTTCATTATTTTATATGTCCATTTAGGTCTTTTAGAACCAGTTAGAAGGTCACTATATTAATCCAGACAGCAAAAAAAGAAAAAGGATCTGAACTAAGGGAGTGGTTTCAGAAATGAAGAAGAGAGGAAAGATTCTAGTGTTACTTATTAAAGGGGAAGAAACCCAGGGGATTTGGTGACATCTGGATGTGACTAATGAGAGAGCGAGAGAGAAAGGAAGTCCAGGATGAAGCCCAAACTTACATTTTAGGCAACACGACTTGTGCCTCCATTTCCTCGCTCCACAAAAACATAACTCACTAAGGCCATCAGAGACTTCCATTGGCTAAATCCAATGACTGTTTGTTAGGTCTTTATCTTGTTTGCCCTCTCGGAAGCAATACTGGTGTCCATTAGCTCCTTGGGCTTCTTGACCCAACATCCTTCTGGGTTTCCCCACATCCCTCTGGTTACCTCTTCTCTATCTCCTCTGAAGGATTATCCTCCTCCCGGCCATTATGCTCCTCAAGGCTCAGCCTAAACCCACATCCTCCATTCCCACTTTCTCCATGGGTGATATTATTCACTGGATTCTAACCACCACATATGTGAAGGCAACCTACGAATTAATTTCTCTCTTATCATCTCTTCTAAGCACTAGATCTATATATATGCCAGTGCTTACTTGACACATCACCTCTAGGAAGTTTAAAAGGCCCCTCAAACTCAACATATTCAAAGCAAATCCATCACCTTCCTCCACAATCACCTAAATACGCAAGCCCAAAAAACAGGAGTCATCACTCACTTCTCTTTCTTCCTTACTTCTCACTTTGAATCTGTGAATCCCATCAGTTCACTTCCTAAATGTCTCACAGCCAACTACGTCTCCCCTTCTCTTCCCCAACAAGTCTAACCCCAGCTACTACAATCTACAGCTGAGCCCATCAACAGCCTTCAACAGGGTCCATGTGTTAACACAGCCCCTGCTTCCATCCACTGTCCATCCTGCAGCCAGAACGATCTTTTCAAAAGGCAACGCCTTGCTGAAAATCCTTCAGGGGCTTCCCACTTTCCTTTTAATAGGGCATGCCGGGCTCCACGTGCCTTGGCCCTGTTTGCCATTCCGTTCTCATCTCATAAAACGTTCTCTCTGTTCTGGCTACTCCGGCTCTTTTTAGCCCTTGGCAAACACCAGGCTCCATTTTACCACAAGGCCTTTACATATGCTATTTTTCCTGCCTACAAGGTTCTTCTCTCCCATTTCAATTTGTTATCCATCCCTCCTCTGGTAAATCTAAGTTCAGGTCACTTCCTCTTAGAAATATCCCTGAGTTCCGTAAGTAAAAGCATCCCTTAATGTACTCTCACAGCATCATATACCTCCATTGCACTCATCAAGATTGCAATTCTACATATGTTTCTGGCACACAGCAGCCACTCAGTAAATAACTGTTGAATAGATAAACCAAAATAAATAAATAAATAAACAAACAAACAAACAAACCAGAAGGAAGTGGTATCCCAGAACAAAGGGAAGGTACTGTTTTTAAAAAGGAGTGTTTAAAGATATCAAGATAGTAGTCTTTAAATGACTCAACTGATTCTAGGTATCGTCTACCCTAAACAGGTTAGTGAGGTGCAGAGAACAAGCTGCTAATACATTTTCTAAATGTTACATTAATCTTAACAAAAGTACAGTTCAAACTGTGTATAATATTTTAATTTAGCAATATTAACTAAAAAATTATCTACTCATTCTGTTTCCAAAAACTACATATGTTGGTGAAAAAGCTATTTTTTCTCTCGTGGGTTAAAAGCAAAACATCATTATAAAGAATACTAAAATTTTAGATTACCTTCATCAATGTACCATGAATTTTTTGATTTGGATTGTGGTTGTGAGTCAACAGAAGACCCATTTAAGGTATAAAATAATTCAGATCTGCTTCTATTTCCAGGGTCTGAGGTAGATCCTATGGAACAAGAAAAGTTTATTTTAAAAATAAAGTCAACATGGTGTGAAAGTTTTTCTGTAAGAGAAATTAATATCCATATGGTGTTAACAATTATTTACACAACCAACAGATGTATACAAGCACAATATATTTTATTAGTGTCTTAAGTTTTTAAAAATCTGGTAATCACTTTTGCAATGTCAAAAGGATTCTTCAGCCCAAGATACAATATGACAGTAAAACAGGAAATCAAGAGAAGCCTGCTCTTTTTTTTTTTTTTAAAAAACAAACTGCATTAAGAAATCATTTCATGTTCTATGGCTTATTTCCAAGTGTCAAAATAACCATTCCCCAGTTTCATTTGCTGAACTTATTGGTTCACAAATTTAACATATTATTTTAAAACAGCTGCCCTCAAAAGAAGGTAATCTTCAAGTGTATATAAACTGATACACAATTCAAGTTTAAAAGATTTAAGGTTTAAACACTTTGGGATTGGTAGTCATCAAATTCCTTGCTGAATTTCTTCATGTCTCAGAAAAAGTGAAGTGGTATTATTTTTCACATATTAAATTTACTAACTATAAGAAAATGCTAGTGTAGCTATGTCACAGACAGTGCAAGACACTCCCTTGCCTCAGTACTAAGAGGACATGCCACAGCTGAGAACACTCGGGCATCCAGAACTCATATAAAATCTGATTTCCTTCTCAATTTAAAGCAGATAACTCTACACTTTATACCTATAACTAAGATCCGCTACCACCTAAGTGTCACGCATGTCTTAAGAAGCTCTGTAGGCTGTTTACATTTAAGTGAAAGGAGCAAGTTTGACCTATCCTATCTAGATCTATAGGTTAACATAAAAAATACTATTATTTATATATTCTATTTAATTCTAAGTCTCTCAGGGTCCAATGTCACATAAAACATTTCTTAAAGTACAATTTCCTTTTAAATGAGCTGAAAAGGTTTTGTTCACTAGATAACTGAGGAAAAAAATATTCTTTTCCTAACCTACATCAGAGTTAAGAACAATTCTTACAGCTTTTTAAATGAGCTGTTTAGCTTGGATAAATACTACCCTATAAATCTATGGAATATGTGGAAGCTAACCAAAAAAGAAGAGCTAAGAACTCCATATGTACTGTGAGGGAGTTTCTGGAAGAGAGATAAAAATTTTTGCCTACCAGTCTGGGATTTTAATTTGTGCCACCTCTAACTAGAGAAATCCACATAATCTCTAGTATACTTTATCCTACATAACATTACCCATACATGACTATTTTGTACCGTTGCAGCTCTAAACTCTATGTACGAATGTTACAAATAGGGAATTCCGAAAACCAGCTAATATGGACCAGAAAAAGACAAAGTCCTCCCAGGAAACTTTTCATCAATTAAAAAACGTTGAAAAATCGTGGCTTAAACAACACCATGTATAAACATTTTTCAGTAAACTACTAAAATTGTTTGAAAGAAGAATGTCTACATATACATTAAGGAGTAATACCATTAATCTTCTTTCAATGCCATTGCAAATCAAATTATCATGTAAATAACTAAGAACTGTATTCTATTAATCCATACCCGTAACCTTTGGTTTATTATGACTGGATGAACCTTTGTCCACAACACCTCTTGACATAAAGGCAAGTTTGGGAGGCCTCCTTTCCTGTGTCACGCTATCTGAAACAGTAAATGTGTTTTTTAAAGACACAAGCAAATTCTTATAGAAGAGAAACAATTGAGCAAAGATTGACAATAACAACAAAAGGCTCTTTCCAACATAAAGTAGCATTTTCACAGTAGTTTCACAAATTCGTCAAAACCATCAAAAGTACTGAAAGAGATAAAAAAAAAAAAAAACATTGCTCTATTTCAAAATGTAACTTCTATAAGACAATACAGCCCAAGTACAGTATAGCTAAATGCTTTAACTTCTTGAAAATGTTATCACTTTTAATCAATTTTATTTGATGTGTTAAAATACCACCAAGAAAACTTTACTTGGTTTTTTATAGGATTTCCCAAATCAGTATCCCCAGAACACTCCTGTGTGATATGAAGGGTCCCACACTCAAATACCTCTAGGAGATGCTGACATAAACAGACTTCTTTACTGCATAACACTAGAACATTTAATATGCTAATAAGCATTGTGAATCTCTCAAAGGGGGATACATTTTATTTGGAAACATTTTTTATGCCACTCTGCTCAGCATCTCAGATTAATATATTTCATGGAACACAGTTTGGAAAAAGCCTGGTAAGGAACATATATCAGTTTTTTAAAACATATGTTAAAATAAAAATAACAGAAATGTATATACAGGCACATGCATACAAACAGAAATAACACAGAAAACTATACACAAAGAAATGATGCAGAAAGCCAGAGATAGACAGCAGCAATATTTCTGAAGAAAACACTCAAAACTTCTTTTTGAAATATAGGTGCAATAATTTTGGCAAACTTGTTTTTGATACAAAGACTACTTTAAACCTTAAAGGTCACTGATTTTCATAAGATATTCACAAAACTGGATCAAGCAAGTGTAGGAAAATCAGTCTGGAAATTTTTTCCCCTGGAAAGTTCAGCACACCTGTAGAGTCCAACATGACACTTAGAAGTTATACCTGTTAAAGCTGTGTATCAGCAAAAACAGTGTCACCCCCAGTGGATTTTTAAGAATAGAAAGCAAAAAAAATAGGGAAAGTTTTACATTTTAAGCACAAGGAAAATGCCATCTTTTTTAAGAAAAAGGAAATGATACTGAACTAATTATATATAAATGATGCTTGGTAACTTTTGTCCATGGTTGGAGGGGAAGGAAAATGCATCATTAAACCATATCTCAACTGTCTCATAATATGATCAAACAGAATATTATTTTAATTCAAAAATTACAGTGAGTAATCATGCATTTAACCAAGTAAAAGAAAAACTATTCACTAATATTTTTATGATATTACCAAATATATCTAAGCACCACATATGAGAGCATTGTGGGGTAAAACTTCTCAGTCACTGGCAAAAGTTTCCAAATTACAGCATATAAATTGACTAAAGAAAACTAATTCCCACTATTGACTATAATTAACTGCATATAAGTCCATTTTAAAAAGACAGTCACATGTATATCTTCAATGTATACACATCATATGGTTAGTGGTAATTATAATAAAGGCTGAAAATGGTCTTAACTAAGGTGGCCTGGCAGTACCAAAGAGCAGAACAGATGAGTCTGTTGTGACAACACGGCTAGTGATGCTACAGGAGGCACCAAAGATTAGGAATGCGGAGGGCACTAGAGTTGGAAACGGTGGTTATCTCTGCCAAAGACTCTGTTGGGGGGGAGAGGGGGCAGTGGGGGGTGGGGATGTCAGATACCAATTTTGAGGAATAGGACAGTCCTACGGAATTGTATGCAGATAAAGGGTAACATGCCATATTTAATTTGCCCTCCAGCAATTACATACCAACTCATTCTTTTTTTTTCTTTTCTTTTCTTTTTTTTTCCAACTCATTCTTATTTCTTTGTCACAATTATAATCATGATCCAAAATCAAAGCCTCTATCTTAAATGAGTTTTAAGAGATTACCATCTCAGGAAAAGCAGGGGAAAGTAAACAAAGTAAGAAATAAATCTGACAATTTTGTGAGATTAAAACAATCCTGATTAAAAGATATTAAACATATAGCATGATAACGTCCACCAAACAGCACATATAAAATGTTATAGCTGCCTTATTCATAATAACCAAAAGCTAGAACAATGCATTCTACAGAAGAATGGACAAACTGTGGTCTGCTCATATAATGGAATACTACATAGCAATAAAAAAAGAATAAACTACACACCAGTCAGAATGGCCATCATTCAAAAGTCCACAAATGACAAATGCTGGAGAGGCTGTGGAGAAAAGGGAACCCTCCTACACTGCTGATGGGAATGCAGGTTGGTGCAGCCACTGTGGAAAACAGTACGGAGATTCCTCAAAGGACTAGGTATAGATTTACCATATGACCCAGGAATCCCATTCCTGGGCATATATCTAGAAGGAACCCTACTTCAAAAAGACATCTGCACCCCAATGTTCATAGCAGCACTATTTGCAATAGCCAAGACATGGAAACAGCATAAATGTCCATCAACAGATGACTGGATAAAGAAGATGTGGTATATTTATACAATGGAATACTACTCAGCCATAAAAACCAACAACATAACACCATTTGCAGCAACAGGG